AAAGGGCAAAAAAGCGCTTGGTGGATCATCCCAGTAACTGATTAGAAACTATAGTTATAGCATGTTAGTAACCATAGTTATAACCACTGATTCGTATAGTTACAACTTATAACCCACTTAATCCCACTTAGTAAGTGGTTGGTATAGTTGTAACCCATTGAAAGAAAACAGAGTAACCCACCAAAAAAGGGGACTTGCGATCACCAGGACCATGGTTAGTAACGATTAGTAACCAGTAGATCAGGAAAGTTGGACATCTATGACTTGGTTGCGAACAAAACATGAACCAGTACTATTTTGTGAAGTCATTTTGGCTATTTGCAAAGATCTGAACGACAGTACTTTCCCACAAGATTGGTTCACGAAAGATGGTGCAGTGAACCTCTAATCATATACCATGAAATACATTCACAACATGTGTATATATATATATATATGTATATGTATTTGATATTATGTTATATTATATCATATCATATTGTATTATATATATAATATCATATAATATTGTTCTAAGAAGTTCCAAGTGTCTATATATTATGATACGTTTTCCTATCATTGTGTTTGTGCTTTTACTAATGCTTTGGGAAATTGCGGGTTTTCGGGATAGAACAACTGACACATGAACAGCAAAAATAATAGGGATTTGATGCGAGACATAGGGATTGTTGTTGTCACATTTATCCACACATCAGGTTCTTATGTTTGATGGCTAGTGTGCTTGAAATTATGATTAACATTCATCAACCTCAATAAGCAAATGTTATATGTACCATATTGTACCAGTATTTACCAATAAATCCTGATTGTCTTGGAAATTTAAGTCTTGGATATCAATGTGTGAAGCTCCCGGCTGGCTACGGTGGACAATTCTGATCCCTTTTGGATGAATCTATGGATCTATGGCAGTGCGACATCCCTGTAGCTATGTGGAAAAACAATGAACAACATATATTTAGTTCCTGCTACCCTTTGGTAAACTAACATAGCTATGGAAAATCACCATTTTTAATGGGAAAACTCACTATAAATGACAATTTTCAATAGCTATGTTAGTTTACCAGAGGGTAAAACAAAAAACACCCAGGATGTCCTATACAGATTATACAGTCTCAAAGCCAGAAAACTACTTTGGAGCCTGTCGACCGCTTTGGATGGTACTTTGCCATCCTTCAACCCTTCTGTTTAAGCCCTGTTGAAATTATCACAAGCTGCTCACCAGCACAGAGTTGCATTCAAAATAGCACAAAGTGCTTGGCAAAGAGATCCCATCCAAATTGAAGTTAAAAGAATTGCCAAATGTCAAGCTCTTAAGATTGCTTGGCAGCGTGACTTGTTTCAGACTGTGGTTAAAATCATGACCAAATCTCAAGCTCTGAAGATTGCTTGGCAAAGAGAACCCTTCCAAGCTTTGGTTAAAATCATAGCCAAATGTCAAGCTTTCAAGATTGCTTGGCAAACTGACCCCGGCCATGCTTTGGTTGAAACGGGATCCCAATGTCAAACTCCGAAGATTGCTTGGCAGAGTCACTCCTTCCAGGCTTTGGTTGAAATCAGATCCCAATGTCAAGCTTTCAAGACTGAATGGAAGAGTCGCTCCTTGCAGGATTTGGTTGAAACTAAAGCCAAATATCAAGCTCTGAAGATTGTTTGGCAGAGTCATTCCTTCCAAGCTTTGGTTGAAATCAGATCCGAATGTCAAGCTCCGAAGATTGCTTGGCAGAGTCACTTGCTCGAGGCTTTGATTGAAACTAAAGCCAAATATCAAGCTCTCAAAATTGCTTGGCAGAGTCACTCCTTCCAGGCTTTGATTGAAATCAGATCCCAACGTTAAGCTCCGAAGATTGGTTGGCAGAGTCACTCCTTCCAGGCTTTGATTGAAATGTTCGCCAAATGTCAAGTTCCGAAGGCTGCTTGGCAGAGTCGCTCCTTCAAGGCTTTTATTGAAATGCTCGCCAAATGTCAAGCTTTCAAGACTGCTTGGCAGAGTTGTTCCTTTCAAGCTGTTGCTACACACACTGCCAAGTTTCAAGCTCCGAAGATTGCTTTGCAGAGTCACTCCTTCCAGGCTTTGATTGAAATCAAATCCCAATGTCAAGCTTTCAAGACTGCTTGGCAGAGTCACTCCTTCCAGGCTTTGGTTGAAACTAGAGCCAAATGTCAAGCTCTGAAGACTGCTTGGCAGAGTCACTCCTTCCAAGCTTTGGTTGAAGTTGCGACCGACTGTCAAGCTCTGAATACTTCTTGGCAGACCGAATTGTGTGAGGCTTTGGTTGAAACCAAAGCCAAATGTCAAGCTCCGAAGATTGCTTGGCAGAGTCACTCCTTCCAGGCTTTGGTTAAAATCATAGCCAAATGTCAAGCTCAACAGATTGTTTGGTAGAGTCACTCCTTTCAGACTTTGATTGAAATCAAAGCCAAATGTCAAGTTCTGAAGACTGCCTGGCATAGTCACTTCTTCGAGGCTTTGGTTGAAATCAACACCAAATGTCAAGTTCTGAAGACTGCTTGGTAGAGCCATTTGCTCGAGGCTTTGATTGAACCGATTGCCAAATATCAAGCTCTGAAGATTGCTTGGCAGAGTCACTCCTTCTAGGCTTCGGTTGACATGGGGGCCAAATGTCAAACTCTGAAGACTGCTTGGCAGCGTCACTCCTTCCAGGCTTTGGTTGAAATTGCGACCAAATGTCAAGCTCTGAAGACTGCTTGGCAGGTTAACTTCTGCCAAGCTTAAATTGAACTCGTTTCCAAATGTCAGGCTTTGAAGGCTGTGAGGGAGAATCTGCAAACACCGTATTTTTTCTATGCCTCCTATCAACGTGACCCCTTCCAAGGAAAAGTTTGTGTCTAAAATTCGGAATGCCTCGTCCTGGATGGAACGCCATGCACCATACAAATCTGTGGGAACATAAGTGCAAGAGAGTGTTGCAGGCTTGCCCAGAACGCCCTGCTGTTGCAAGGTTTGATTCAATAGCAGTTCCCAATCACCGTGGTGCAGTGTGATTTTTCCACCTTTCCTTGGAGGAAGGTGTTTCGAAACCATTCGGCACACTTCCCAACCCATACAGGAACCACTGACTTTCAACGCGTATCCTTCACCATTTAGGCATAGTACTTGAAGATCAATCACATCGTCGCGTTTTTGCGGTGCCACGTAGCCGCCAAGACCACTGTTGGACATAACTCGGGGCTTTGCCTGCACGTGTCAAACCCTGACCGGTGAAAGTTGAGCCAAGTCACATCATTGAATACACGAGCCAGACCAAAGATACCTTCCTTGATCATTTCGAAAGGTCAAGCTGAGACATTATCATATTCATCATCCTCGAAAGAGCGGCTGCAAATGATATTTATATAGTGGAAACACTAGCCGAATGGTTTTTTGTATGTTTCCGATTTTTGTTGGGTAGATGTTAGACATTGTGACAGACACCCAGCCGCAGAAGAATCAAAGATTGGAGGTCGGTCTGAAGATTCAAGTCAGTCGGGCTGTGCAATTGAAAGAAATGCCATGAAAATGGGCCAAGTACTCTGCAACTACATTAAAAGAAAAAAACAAAGCACATCAGAAAATGACGCATACTTAAAACATCAGTGACAAAAGGCATAAGATGCAATCAGTCTATATATATAGTATATATACCTCGAACACACATAAGACCACTGTTTGGGATGGTCAAGCTTCCATTTTCTGGGTATTCCCAAACCATCCCGGGGCAGGCTCCAGATTAGGACATCTTGCTTCATCAGCTGGTCAACTAAATGTGTGGCTTCGGAGGGTTAGAAGTGAATGGACATCCTGAGCCACTTCTTCCGGGGAAGCACTGCAGTTCTGTGTGGTAATTTAATTATTTAAGCCTTTGACGACCGCAGGTCCGACTCATGGTAGATGGGGTATTGTCATCCCACCAGAAAAATCCCATGATATATATGGATCCTTTTGGGTATGTGAATCCCTATGTCTAACTAATTAATGGCTTGATTACCAATCCCCATTGGGCAATACACCAACGCTTTGACCATGGCACATTTGTTGCTTCTGAGGTGCATTTAGCATGGCTTTGGAACCATGGGATTTGACCCCAAACTAAACATCGTTGTTTTCTTGACTTTAGACAATAAAAAACACCAAGCAATACCAACCAATTGATTATATATATATATACACTATATACTCAAGAAATTTGTGGTAGTGTCAACCCAGCATTGTTCCACATCAGCATTTGGTTGGATTCATGGCCAATTTATGGGACACCCCAAATTGATGACCTCTTTTCTTGACGTGATATAGCCATATTCCTCACAAGCCATTGGAGTCATGTGTGACATCACCCGACTGCACTTTGCACCTCGTCCAACTTGAACTGGAAGGGAGCACTGCTCTCGTTCAATGCCCATAGCTTGCCATCAGGGGTATATCCTGCAGGCTTGTAGAGATTGAGACAACCAAACAAGCTGCATCTTGGCCGGCATCAGCCGTTTTTCTCGATGACAGCAAATGGCTTTGTCTGAATATAGGGTGCCCCATTCTTTTTTAGGGATCCATCAAGATATGTTCGCATGAAAATAGCCCTCAAAGAGGGTATACCCAAGTTTCCGACAAACCCAAACGACAAGGACTGACAGGATGAACCACCAGGAAGGGTCACTGATGTCTCTGTCCCATTGACCAAGTCAACACGGGTGATCTAAGGCAAAATATCCAGCCAACATGAGGTATGTAATCTACAAACCAGGGGGTAGATTTAATCCAATCATAGAAACAGCAATTTTCAGATCTACAAAATCTTCAAAATATCTATAATATCTATAAGATCTACAAAATAATCATCAAACCAGGGGGTTTCTATAATTTTCATTAGTTGGTGGATGATCTCGACATCTCATCTCAAAATCTCAAGGAACAGCGCTCCTACGGCCGTGTTGGCCGTGCCGGTCTCATGCTCGCCCACGCCGGAGAGCTTCTGCTTCTTTTTGGCCTGAGATTTTCGGAGAGACATGGGACATGGGGAACTAAATAATCAAGAGAACTTGAGAGATCTTGGGCGAAATAATGAAATAATTGATGTATATATAATTATATCATCACCTTATAATAATCTTATATATATAAATAACTGCTGGTTGGTGGTTGACCTACCCCTCTGAAAAATATGAGTGAGTAACAGTTGGGATTATTCTTCCGAATATATGGAAAAATCAAACATGTTCCAAACCACCAACCAGTTAACTATTTGAGTATTGTGATGTAATATGATTGGATACGGGATATAATGGCTTGGCGTGGCTTCACTACACAATATGATATCCGCCGACCCCGGCAGACGCAAGGGGGAGCGCGCCAGGGAATAATACTTTTGACTCTTGTTTCGGACTACTACCGCAGCAGCAGCAGCAGCAGCAGCAGCACCAGCAGCAGCAGCAGCAGCAGCAGCAGGAGCAGCAGCAGCAGCAGTAGCAGCAGCAGCAGCAGCACCAGCAGCAGCAGCACCGGCAGCAGCAGCAGCAGCAGTAGCAGCAGCAGCAGCACCAGCAGCAGCAGCAGCAGCGGCAGCAGCAGCAGCAGCAGCGGACGACAGCACCAGCAGCGGCAGCTGCGGCAGCTGCAGCAGCAGGAGGAAAAAGTAGCTAAAATAATCCTTTTCTATGGGTTTCAGAAGTTACATTAGGGAATTTTTGGTTGCAAAATAATCCTTTTCTATGGGTTTCAGAAGTTACATTAGGGAATTTTTGGTTGCAATTTTGATGCTTTTCCGTCCTTCACTGCCATGGTGTTTTCCCATCCGGGGGCTGTCTTTTGAACAGAAGGAGTAGCAAGAGCAGGAGCAGCAGCAGCAGCAGCAAGAGGAAAAAGTAGCTAAAATCATCCTTTTCTATGGGTTTCAGAAGTTACATTAGGGAGTTTTTAGTCGCAATTAGGAGGAAAAAGTAGCTAAAATAATCCTTTTCTATGGGTTTCAGAAGTTACATTAGGGAGTTTTTGGTCGCAATTTTGATGCTTGTCCGTCCTTCTCTGCCATGGTGTTTTCCCATGAGGAAAAAGTAGCTAAAATAGCTCATTTTCTCTCAGCAGCTAGCAGCCAGCCAGCAGCAGCCAGCAACTTTTAAAAGCTCTTAACAAGGTGGAAATAAGCTGGAAAAATGATTTTTGTAGGATTTCAGAAGGGACGTTCCGGCCTCGAAAAACGTCGATTTTGGCATCGGTTCGTCCTTTAGGGCCATGCTGTTTTACTGCCGGGAGGTGTTTCGGAGGCGTTCGCCAGCAGCAGCAGTAAGAGCGGTGCAGCAGCTAGCAGCCAGCTAGCAGCCAGCCAGCAGCCAGCCAGCAGCCAGCAGCTTTTAACAGCTCTTAACAAGGTGGAAATAAGGTGGAAAAATGATATTTTTGTAGGATTTCAGAAGGGACGTTCCGGCCCCGAAAAACGTAGATTTTGGCATCGGTTCGTCCTTTAGGCCATGCTGTTTTACTGCCGGGAGGTGTTTTGCAGGCGTTCGCCCGCAGCAGCAGTAAGAGCAGCCGCAGCAGTGCAGCAGCTAGCAGCCAGCCAGCAGCCAGCAGCTTTTGACAGCTTGTAACAAGGTGGAAATAAAGTGGAAAAATGATATTTTTGTAGGATTTCAAAGGGACGTTCCGGCCTTGAAAAACGTAGATTTTGGCATCGGTTCGTCCTTTAGGGCCATGCTGTTTTACTGCCGGGAGGTGTTTCGCAGGCGTTCGCCAGCAGTAGCAGTAAGAGCAGCGGCAGCAGTGCAGCGGCTAGCAGCCAGCCAGCAGCTTTTAACAGCTCTTAACGAGGTGGAAATAAGGTGGAAAAATGATATTTTGGTAGGATTTGTAAGATTTCAGAAGGGAGTTTTACTGCCGGGAGGTGTTTAACAGGCTAAGAGCAGCGGCAGCCGTGCAGCAGCTAGCCGCCAGCCAGCAGCAGCCAGCAGCTTGTAACAGCTCTTAACAAGGTGGAAATAAGATGGAATCTGAGATCTTTTTGTAGGATTTCAGAAGGGACGTTCCGGCCTCGAAAAACGTAGATTTTGGCCTCAGTTCGTCCTTTAGGGCCATGCTGTTTTACTGCCGGGAGGTGTTTCGCAAGCGTTCGCCAGCAGCAGCAGTAAAAGCAGCCAGCTAGCAGCCAGCCAGCAGCTTGTAACAGCTTGTAACAAGATGGAAATAAGGTGGAAAAACGCTAGTTTTGTAGGATTTGTAGGATTTCAGAAGGGAGTTTTACTGCCGGGAAGTGTTTAGCAGGCTAAGAGCAGCGGCAGCCGTGCAGCAGCTAGCAGCCAGCCAGCAGCAGCCAGCAGCTTTTAACAGTTCTTAACAAGGTGGAAATATAAGGTGGAAAAATGATTTTTGTAGGATTTCAGAAGGGACGTTCCGGCCTCGAAAAACGTCGATTTTGGCATCGGTTCGTCCTTTAGGGCCATGCTGTTTTACTGCCGGGAGGTGTTTCGGACGCGTTCGCCAGCAGCAGCAGTAAGAGCAGCCGCAGCAGTGCAGCAGCTAGCAGCCAGCTAGCAGCCAGCCAGCAGCAGCCAGCAGCCAGCCAGCAGCCAGCAGCTTTTAACAGCTCTTAACAAGGTGGAAATAAGGTGGAAAAATGATATTTTTGTAGGATTTCAGAAGGGACGTTCCGGCCCCGAAAAACGTAGATTTTGGCATCGGTTCGTCCTTTAGGGCCATGCTGTTTTACTACCGGGAGGCGTTTTGCAGGCGTTCGCCAGCAGCAGCAGTAAGAGCAGCCGCAGCAGTGCAGCAGCTAGCAGCCAGCCAGCAGCCAGCAGCCAGCAGCCAGCAGCTTTTAACAGCTCTTAACAAGGTGGAAATAAGGTGGAAAAATGATATTTCTGTAGGATTTCAGAAGGGACGTTCCGGCCCCGAAAAACGTAGATTTTGGCATCGGTTCGTCCTTTAGGGCCATGCTGTTTTACTACCGGAAGGCGTTTTGCAGGCGTTCGCCAGCAGCAGCAGTAAGAGCAGCCGCAGCAGTGCAGCAGCTAGCAGCCAGCCAGCAGCCAGCAGCTTTTGACAGCTTGTAACAAGGTGGAAATAAAGTGGAAAAATGATATATTTTTGTAGGATTTCAGAAGGGACGTTCCGGCCTCGAAAAACGTAGATTTTGGCATCGGTTCGTCCTTCAGGGACATGCTGTTTTACTGCCGGGAGGTGTTTCGCAGGCGTTCGCCAGCAGTAGCAGTAAGAGCAGCGGCAGCAGTGCAGCGGCTAGCAGCCAGCCAGCAGCTTTTAACAGCTCTTAACAAGGTGGAAATAAGGTGGAAAAATGATATTTTGGTAGGATTTGTAAGATTTCAGAAGGGAGTTTTACTGCCGGGAGGTGTTTAACAGGCTAAGAGCAGCGGCAGCCGTGCAGCAGCTAGCCGCCAGCCAGCAGCAGCCAGCAGCTTGTAACAGCGCTTAACAAGGTGGAAATAAGATGGAATCTGATCTTTTTGTAGGATTTCAGAAGGGACGTTCCGGCCTCGAAAAACGTAGATTTTGGCATCAGTTCGTCCTTTAGGGCCATGCTGTTTTACTGCCGGGAGGTGTTTCGCAAGCGTTCGCCAGCAGCAGCAGTAAAAGCAGCCAGCTAGCAGCCAGCCAGCAGCTTGTAACAGCTTGTAACAAGGTGGAAATAAGGTGGAAAAACGCTAGTTTTGTAGGATTTGTAGGATTTCAGAAGGGGGTTTTACTGCCGGGAAGTGTTTAGCAGGCTAAGAGCAGCGGCAGCCGTGCAGCAGCTAGCAGCCAGCCAGCAGCAGCCAGCAGCTTTTAACAGTTCTTAACAAGGTGGAAATAAGGTGGAAAAATGATATTTTTGTAGGATTTCAGAAGGGACGTTCCGGCCCCGAAAAACGTACATTTTGGCATCGGTTCGTCCTTTAGGGCCATGCTGTTTTACTGCCGGGAGGTGTTTTGCAGGCGTTCGCCAGCAGCAGCAGTAAGAGCAGCCGCAGCAGTGCAGCGGCTAGCAGCCAGCCAGCAGCCAGCAGCTTTTGACAGCTTGTAACAAGGTGGAAATAAAGTGGAAAAATGATATTTTTGTAGGATTTCAGAAGGGACGTTCCGGCCTCGAAAAACGTAGATTTTGGCACCGGTTCGTCCTTTAGGGCCATGCTGTTTTACTGCCGGGAAGTGTTTCGCAGGCGTTCGCCAGCAGTAGCAGTAAGAGCAGCGGCAGCAGTGCAGCGGCTAGCAGCCAGCCAGCAGCTTTTAACAGCTCTTAACAAGGTGGAAATAAGGTGGAAAAATGATATTTTGGTAGGGTTTGTAAGATTTCAGAAGGGAGTTTTACTGCCGGGAGGTGTTTAACAGGCTAAGAGCAGCGGCAGCCGTGCAGCAGCTAGCAGCCAGCCAGCAGCAGCCAGCAGCTTGTAACAGCTCTTAACAAGGTGGAATAAGGTGGAAAAATGATATTATTGTAGGATTTCAAACGTTCCGGCCCCGAAAAACGTAGATTTTGGCATCGGTTCGTCCTTTAGGGCCATGCTGTTTTACTGCCGGGAGGTGTTTCGCAAGCGTTCGCCAGCAGCAGCAGTAAGAGCAGCCGCAGCTGGCAGTGCAGCAGCTAGCAGCCAGCCAGCAGCAGCCAGCAGCTTTTAACAGCTCTTAACAAGGTTGAAATAAGATGGAATCTGATATTTTTGTAGGATTTCAGAAGGGACGTTCCGGCCTCGAAAAACGTAGATTTTGGCATCAGTTCGTCCTTTGGGGCCATGCTGTTTTACTGCCGGGAAGTGTTTCGCAAGCGTTCGCCAGCAGCAACAGTAAAAGCAGCCAGCTAGCAGCCAGCCAGCAGCTTTTGACAGCTTGTAACAAGGTGGAAATAAGGTGGAAAAACGCTAGTTTTCTAGGATTTGTAGGCTTTCAGAAGGGAGTTTTACTGCCGGGAAGTGTTTAGCAGGCTAAGAGCAGCGGCAGCCGTGCAGCAGCTAGCAGCCAGCCAGCAGCAGCCAGCAGCTTTTAACAGCTCTTAACAAGGTGGAAATAAGGTGGACAAATGAT